TTGTTAGACTTGTTCTGTCGTTTTGGGTTGACATACAATTTTGATATTCCTAATACATGATATCAATCACCATGATTTTGATTGACCCCTTTATCATTGGACTTGGTGTTACGCAATTTGCCTGATAGTAATAAAAAATTCTCCTTGTTGCTTTAGATGTTGCCATATTTGATCATCAGGAATGGAGAATCTGTCATGTATTTCTTCATCTCCAATCGTTATAAGAAGGCATCATTCATTTATGTGCCTAAGTCGACTTATATTAGTTGTAGGAGTATTTTATTGTTTCTTTGTGTAGGAGAGAATTTCCCATTTGATATGACATTGATGTAGGAAATACGCTTGGGGTTGCATCGCTCAGACTATATGCTGGATGAGCAAACTAAATTACTTCTGCAAATAGAGCTTAACACAATTTCATCATCATTTCCAGGGCTAAGTTGTCTGGTCAGCGAGCTTCACAGGTAAAATAATCTATGTTAACTTATGTAGCAAAGCTTCCACTTTTTTAATAATGAAATGCATTGTAATGTCCTTATCTAAAAAAATTCAAAAACCTGGAGCAACAAAAACCTTCAAGGGCTCTAAATAAGCAGCTAATGATATCTGCAATACGGTTGGGTAAATGGTGTGTTATAGGACAGTCTGGCATCGATACTCACTATCCAGAACTTCTGTTGTAATTTTATCAAGTTATTTCTTGGATTTTTGTTTTATGATGAAATCTTCAGTGTATGCATGCGTGAATATTGAAAAGATAACGTCAGATCATAAAACATCTAGCTCTTTCTCCTCTAAAGCCCATATAGAAGTTGATATTAGCTGTCGTTTACAGGAGCTTGCTTCAACAATACAGAGAAGACATTGCATCAGATCCTAACAGAATTCCCGCAAACAATGCTGTAAATCAATTTGCTGAAGCATTGGCTAAAGCTTGGAATGAATATGGTGATCCAAGGTTGATTTGATTTGAGAGATTTTTTTCCTTAATGCTAGAAAGTACTTTGAAGTTGTACTAACTTTAATACATATTGCAGGGCTGTGATTATGTTTGTGGTTCAAGCTGAAGAGCGCAATATGTATGACCAGCATTGGCTTTCTGCATCATTGAGAGAAAGATATCCTACTTTCAATGATAGATGTGGATTTAATGTACTTATCATGGATCTAATAAAGGAATATAGCCATATTTAAGACACTTATGATTATCTTGGTCTGAAGTATCAAAAATGCATTCTGTGTAGTACGTCTGCAGTGATTTTTGCTTGTAAATTCTCCTAAAGATATTTCCTTAGCTTATAACACACATCAAGTTACAACTATCAGAAAGACACTGGCTGAAATTGATGCACTTGGCGAGCTTCAACAAGATGGTACCCTTGTTGTGTATGTAACTTTTCTACCAAAATACTGTGTTAAAGCTGTTAAATTTGCACTTTCTGTATGGGAAGCTTAAAATCTTTAGGATTGCAGAGATGGTCAAGCTGTGGCAGTCATTTATTTTAGAGCTGGCTATGCACCAAGTGATTATCACTCGGAATCTGTAAGATTATTTTTATACTGCTTGACTATGGTTATGAAATTACTGGCTTACTTTTAAATTCCTATGCTCATATGTGCAATAACCACTATTTGCTGACATTAGAGGTGGATACCCTCTGTACAGTCAGATTTTTACTTGGCTCGATTTGTTTGATAAATGTATCTGTTGGTATCTTTATGAATCACCATCTCATGCCATTTAACAATTCTTATCGAATCTGTAAATACCTGAAATGAAAAAAAGGAATAAGCAATTCCTTATTAAAAGAAAAAGGAGAACACAGTTCCAATGGGGAACTGGTAAAAAAACAGTGGGCAGGTTATTCCCTATTTTAGCAGGTATACTCTAGATCAGAATTTCTTAGATAGGGAGGTGAGAGAAAACATAGGTACACACAATTGGAGAAGAAAGAGAAATGAGCACATGATTTTGGGTGGAAGGGAAAGTGCTGTTTAGCACTGATCACTGGCTGAGGAGTAGTCAGCTGTAGTTTTCAGAGTCCAAAATAAGAGTAGCTTGTGACGAGATTCCTATATTTTTGACATGGCATGGGGGTAAAAGCATTTTAAACAAAGTTAATGAACACCATATTCTAAGGCATTGCATTCTCCTGGTAAGTGAAATGGAAGCAAAAAAAAATTCAATAACTAATTGAAATGGAACTGTTTGGATCTATGTTGCTCAGACTCTTCAGAAACGTCGACGGGTGCGTGTCGGATCCTCTAAAAGTAGTGCATTTTTGGTGGATCCTACACGGGTGCGGCAGCAATTTTTGAGAGTCCGAGCAACTTAGGTTTGGATGCCTAATTCAGGATAATGGGCCCTGATCATTTTCATTGTACAGTTTCTGGTTCTTTTAGTTAGTCTTATGGATATTTAGCCTTTAATTTCTGCTAAATCTTTTGAAAGCATCTCTAAGTTGTGCACACACGTTTTTGGGTAGAGGCAGAATTGATTCATAAGTACTGTTCAATATTTGAGATTATGAAAGTGGCCCAAATAGAGAGATTGGCCATTTACTATTGCATCTCGTTGTGATCTCCACTTAGTTATACACTTCCCAGTTACCTATCGTTTTTGCTTGATCTGTTTTATGCAATTTATTGTAGGAGTGGAAAGCTAGGCTGCTGATGGAGCAATCACGTGCAGTCAAGTGCCCTTCAATTTCTTATCATTTAGCTGGCAGCAAGAAGATTCAGCAAGAGCTTGCAAAGCCCAATGTACTTGAAAGGTAAAAGCTTAACTCAAGTTGCGTCTCTTGTGATTCAGTAATTAGTAAACTTAGTGTGTTGATACAGGTGTTTAAATTTTTGAGTCTGGATAATTGTTTGGGATCTTCCCTCTCTGTAATGGGGTTCTGGAAAGGCAAAACTTAATGCATTTAGTGCTTTATAAACTGATTGTGATGAATATTGTCATTCCGTTGCTCTCTTTTCCTGTGGTACAGAAAGAAGGTAAAAAAATAAATGTCTAAATTAACAAGATATAGACAACCCAGACAGTTTGAAGTAGAACGTTTCGTATAATTTGTAAGCTGGGAGCATAATGAATACAGTAATGCAGTCATTGAGAAATTAACTTTTCCTAATACTCTATCTATGATTTGGTAAACTTCCGTCCTTGTTTATGAGCAGGTTTCTGGAAAACAAAGATGACATTGCCAAATTACGGAAATGCTTTGCAGGGTTGTGGAGCTTGGATGAATCCGACATTGTCAAGGATGCAATTGACAGGCCAGAATTGTATGTTATGAAACCACAACGAGAAGGAGGAGGTCTGGCTCATGAAATTGATTTTGTCTATATTGTAACTACACATCAAAATCATTAATACTAGATCCTCTTCTCACCTCAGGAAACAATATCTATGGGGAGGATGTCAGAGACGCTCTTTTGAAACTGCAAAAGGAAGGCACTGGAAGTGATGCAGCCTACATTCTAATGCAGAGGATTTTTCCGAAGATCTCTCACTCGATACTAATGCGAGAAGGCATCTCTCATAAAGAACAAACCATATCAGAACTTGGGATATATGGTACCTATTTAAGGTAATTAGTGAATATGCTGTATTGCACACCCCCATGGACCCACCCACCCCAATTTAACGTAAGAATGAAAAAGAGGAACTGCCAGAAAGGAGAAACGTTGAGACAACCTTTTAACCCAAAGCATGTTCCAGTCCCTGCTTTCAGCTTATGTTTGATTCATAGAATGATGTTACAAGGGATGCAGATTATTTGAATAACAAATGAGCAAGAATGATTTTTTTTTTTTGTAAACCTAAGTTTTAAAATCATCGTTGCCCTCTAACATCTTGTGCTGATATGCACTTCATATGCAGGAACAAAACAGAAGTTTTAATCAACCAACAGGCTGGTTACTTGATGCGAACAAAGGTCTCTTCATCAAATGAGGGGGGAGTTGCAGCCGGGTTTGCAGTTTTGGACAGTATATACTTGGTTTGATGGAATTGGCTTGCGCGTTGACTCTATAACAAGGGTTGAATGTAGAAGCTGGACAAGTCATTTCCTACATTATGTTGAAACACCATGCTTTAGCCTGTTTAACCTTTCCTTGTTTTACATTGTATTTTTCTTGCTTAACATCTTTAATAAATAGAGCTCCATATCTGAAGGAAGTGACCAAAAGAATGATATAAGTCAATTCAAAGTTTTTGCTTGCAATTTAAACCTATTCAGCGTTTGGACTCTTTGTTACCCCAGGAGCTTTTACTGTTATGTTGTTCATTACATGTAATTCTGTTTCACATTTGTTGGTACTATCAAGATTGCTCACCTGCATTTTTGTTTTCTCCTATGTGATAGGTGTGAAATATGCATTGCTCGATGTGATGTATCATCTAATTTGGAAAAATCCTTTTGGCCAGAATGGTAAAATAACATATTTCACATTATATTATTTTATCTTTTGAACATTTTTACCCTTTTAACTTTAATACCTTTTAATTAAAAAATAAAAAAAAGATCAATTTATTTTTAAAAATAAAAAAGATATTATATACTTTTTAAATTTTTGGCCAATCTGGCCATTTAGCATTTTCCAATCATATTATGGATAATTGAGACGTTGCAGTCTTTCTGTTTGTTTCAGTTTAGAGCATGCAAATTCAACCAATCATCAACACTAAACCACCTTCCATCTTTTTTCGAAAAAAACACCTTTTATGTTTTATTTTTTCCTAGTCTCCCATTACAAGCTATTAACGGGTGAGAAAACTAATTTTAAGTAAATGATTACCTATACTTGGTGTTAGTTTACTATAATTAAGTGATCAATTAATGTGAGAGAATGTAATTAACTATTGCTTAGTGATAACAATGTAGATGACTGAAACTCTTGAGAGAACAGCATGTACTCATGACATGACAGCAAGACGGCCAAATTGTAAACCACACGCATTCCGTTCACAATGATGTGAATTGTGATAACACAACTTGGAAAAACGTCAATTAAATTATTAACTGAAATCAACACAATCTGAAGTATAAGAAATGAAAACCAAGACAGACGAAAAGGGAAAACCATATTCACAAAATGGGTGTACAAGGAAAGAGGCATATAAGTGCATATCTATTCTAATTCTAACAGAGACCAAAATGGTTAATTTTCCTGGAATAAAGTCTTCACTAGTCCTTCCAGCCAAACTCAATGGCTCGAGTCTCCCACAGTGCAGAGAGCTTGCGCTCTTCTATCAATGCAGCTTCAGCCTTTTCCCTCCCTCCCTCACATGTATCTATCCCTATGTTGCACTTCTCTGATTCTTTTTGGTAGTGTGAAGATGCTCTTTTGGCACTCATAATTAGAGCCTTGGTGCGATTCAAGACGTCATCAGTAACATTTTTTTGCAAGTTAATCTCCTCTGCTAGTAAAGTAGCAATGTCCTTTTTCATCTCTTCATTCAACTGAGGATCATTTTTACCACAGTCTGCATCAAGAAAAGATCCAACGATTAGAGGAAGCAGCTTAAACCAAATTAAACCTCTCCTCCTAAATTTTTCAACAGCGACCTACTTAACTGCATGCAGCACAATGTTGTGAAAGACTATATAATTAGACGGCAGAAAAATTCTACATTAATCAGACAAATGGAGGAAGAGAGCCAAAGGGTGGCTCTTTCTCTACTTTGCTTTCAGTGTTCTAGACAGTTCTTCAAAACTTGTAGCGGATGTCAAACAGTCAGTTTGTCCAGAACATCTCAGCTCTATTTTTTGTTTTTTTTTAGTAAGTATAGTGCTCTGTTGTGAGTTGTTACTAGTGCAATCAGGATTTAGACACAAGAAAAATAAAAAAGATGGGATTAAGTTTCAGTCAATTGCTGGATTAGTGTCGCTTTAAATTATATCCTCACAGCAAAAAGATTTAATCGTTTCTCCAACATTATGTCTTCATAGAGTAACTTTTAAACAGGAAACAGTATAACACTTCACTCAATTTCATAGAGGATTACTTGTACAACTTTACACCTTACAGTTTTTCAGGCACTAAATGAAGCAGAGGACTAACCTGCCAATGAGCTGTTTAAGATGTCTGCAAAACAACACATAAATAGGAGATAAGAATCAGCAGGACAGAGGAAAACATCATAAACGATGTCAGTTTTGCATTGAAAGATACTATTATTTCCAAAAGCTATGCTGATTTTCAAACATCAACACCAAGAGAAAAGAGAAAGTACTGAATAAATAGCTTAAAATTTTGTTATACCAGACAAAAGAAGACAATATGGTTAAAAAAATATCTTGAATGTTAATTTATAAACATTAAAGGTATTGCGGCATAGCAGTATATATTTGAATAGTATGCTATACTGATGGAAGTATCATCCTTTATATGTAAACAATCCTCATCCTCTTCAAAATATAGAACCTCAAGTCTTAATGATGTAGAAGGCATTCAGTCTACTCCAATCAGGATAAACAAATAAACTATTTCAGCAAACTCTTGGAAAAACTATTTCCTGGACCCTACTATGCCACTTTTTGCAGACGCAAATTTATCAAAAAGTTCTCATTCTTAAAGGAGCTTGTCTGGCATTAAGAATTTCTCCCTGTGCCAGAAACATATAGTTCAAGATCTAAATACAAAATCAGTAAAACTGTAGCAAATTAAGTCTTGGCATTCTTTCAGCAATTACTCCCTGTGCCAGAAACATATAGTTCAAGATCTAAATACAAAATCAGTACGAGTCGGTACTCTGAATAAGTTCAATAAAATGCTCTGTTACCACCAATGCCAACAATGAGAGGCATCTATAGCTTAGATAAGTCATATCAACCTATTATTCAGGATGAGAGATTGGGAGTTTGGAACTGCGGCTACTGAATCACTCCAAGGTTACAAAGTTTCTTCCAGGCCCACCAGTTGTGTCGTGATGCCAATTTATGCCCTCAGAGAATTATGGGCTCCTTATGGAAATCAATAAATCAAAACAGACTATTCAGAACAAGGCAACACTTCATTGACTGCTAGGCCACACCCAATTCATTGACCACTAAGCCACACCTTTGAACTTGATACCTCATGGTTCTCACCCACTTTTGTCTCTTCAATGAAATATGTAATAGTTCCTTTCCCAGTACAATTCTCAAATCAACCATTAATTAGAAATTTCAGTTAAAGTGTCTTTCTCTTACATTTCGTTTTAATCGTAATCTGCACCAATTCTCAGCAAATTCACTTAGTTCTTGTGGATTCTAGAAAGACCTAACTTAAGATTAACTGTATGAAATCCTCGCTATGTATTTGGAAGTATAATAATACGAAGCATTTGATTTTTGTACCAGGACAATATAGTCTTTAAATATACAAGACAGTTCACTCATTCCTGTTACTTCTGTCATGAATATTCTCTAGCCATACTCAATAGGAACATATAGACTTAGAAATGACCTTTTGGTTGATGCATGGAATTGGCTAAGCATTTCATTTGAACAAAAATAGAGCTAGGATGAATGGTTTTGTGTCTATTTCCAGTTCTTCCTCCTGTGGAAGAACCAAAAAGTTTTCAACTCACATGAATTATTTCTAATATTTAGTTATAGTTCATTCTCCACCTTCTATAAGTGGTAAAAACAAGGTACTATTAATTGAGAATCCTGCCAGTTTCTTCAATTGGTTAATACTTAATACAAAAATGGACCATGGTTCACCAATTTGGATGACAAGCAACCCCATGAAGGCTATACAAAGGTTTCTTAATCAAATTGTTCATACATAGACCTTAAACAATATCACTTCTTACTAAAAGCAGAAACTCAACTTTAAATGAACTAAGTGTCTCAATATGTAAAAGGCATTACTTTTAGTCATTAGGATCAAATCAGCCAACATAAGTACACAACCTACACAATTTTAAAGTAGATGAGCAAGATTTAGCATCCAAAGAGAGATAAACTGACCTATAGGCGAGAACATGGGATCCTCCTCACAATCACAGAAACATGGAGGACATGAAGACAAAGCCTTAGAGTGCCGCAAAGTTGGTGGTGTCACCATTAAAGAAAAAAAAATTGAGTATAACTATAGTATCGCTACCTAGATTTTTTATTTTATTTTTGTTTTCCTCACGGGTCCCATTGGAGTTCGACTAAATTTGAATCGCGCAGTCTAAATAAGATTTTCTCTATATTCAAGGCTCGAATCCAAAACTTCTAAGATCTGTTTAATAGTGAAGCAGTTCACCAATGTACCACAACCATGGTCGGTAACTACTAAAGTTTGTGGTTTTTTGAGGGAGAAAACACTACTTGGACTTGGTGAACTTCTAAGATTAGACATAAACAGGTCGAGTTGCCTGCTTAATTTAGGTAGTTGCCTAATGGACAACTATAGAGACAGATACAGTACATGACTGGATTTTATTTGTGTAAAAGGTTTATGTCTTTCTTGCACCAATGAATCTTTTGAGCCTGCCTACATACCAACAGGACAGACATAAACAGATTTGTAGAAGTGTACCGTTAAATTCATAATCTAGGGGTAAAATTATGAGCAAATTACAGAAATCACATACTTTTAAGGTAAAATTACAATTTATCCCTTAAAAGTTTATAATTATAGAAATCCCTCATTTTCGCGCATCAGATTAGTGTATCAGAGCATATATTATTGTATCTTGCGCATCAGATTAATCTATCAACGCTTATATTATTGTATCACGCGCATCAGATTAATGTATCAGTGCTTATATTATTGTATCTCGCGCATGTATCAGCACTTATATAGCTCTGATACATTAATCTGATGCGCGAGATACAATAATATAAGCGCTGATACACTAATCTGATGTGCGAAAATGAGAAATTTTGGAGATTTGTAAAACTTATAGGGGATAATGGTAATAAGTAAACTTAAATGTGGGATTTCTATAATTTTTCCTAAAATTATTCCTTTTCGCATAGTTCAGAGCATATTCGGCCCTCTTATCGCATGTTAAAAGTGTTGTTCCTAAAGGAACTTGTCGAATTTTATGTTGAAGGGGTCCTTATCCCATGGGAATATATATATTGAGAGCCAGTACTGTAATTAGTCCTAACTAATGTGTGATTTGTTGAATGAGAATTCAGACAGGTAAAATGAATTAATACTGACATAAAGAAAGGGAAAAGAAATTGAAAAATATATAAATATTTTACTAATTCAAAGGACACCCACCATATGTCAAAATTAAAGTACTAGAAGTATAGAAAGCAAAATGAAAAGAAATAAATAAAAAAGAGTAACAATCAAGGCAAACTCTTTCAAATTCAAATCCACGCAAACAAATTTAATATTTAAAAAAGAAAGAAGAAGACAACAGAATCTAGCATACAGGTAAAGACTAAAACAGAGAGGGAGTTTAAGTTAATAACAATACAATTACACTATAATTTTACTTAAAAGGAATGATTACTAGCTAGCTAGTACTTATAATTTAGATAATAGTATTCTCATCATCTGAATCTTCTGCAAAACAATCCATGAAAGGATAGGAATCACAAGTTCCCTGCCATTTAACTCCTGTAGGACCATAAGCTTTACATTTTTGATCCTCTATCATATCAGGAGATAGTCCCCATTCGTGAAGTTTTTTGTCATCATGATGAAATGCTAGGCTGTATTCCCCGCCATGCCCTAATTGCAACACTTGAAATTCACTAGGTTTCATCCTATTGAGATCCTCAAACTGCTCAATCGTCCAGTCGAACCATTTCATGAGGAAGATCCGACTGGATAGTCCATGGGTAACAATGATGATGTTGGTTTCTTGACAAGGATCATGACAGACGAATTTCTTCATTTCTATGTCCCTCCTCAAGCATTCAATATAACCTACATATTGTTATAGTATGAGTTTATGTTATTACTATACTATTCGTCTTGAAAATATTTACACAATCATCTTATTATTTACGACTAAGGTAATTATTATAATCAAATCTCTACATAACATATATTGATTGGTAGTCTAGGAAAGAGTTTAGGTTATATCATCATCAGGACGAGGCTTACTTATAGACATCCTTTGAATGAGTGGAAGGGTTTCTTACACCATTGATGTTTGTAACTTAAACTCGATTAAATGTGTTGAATTATATTGATAGTACAAGAAATCTTAGTATATGTTCCTTTAAAGTCACCACCTAATTTACTTCCTTATTATTATTATTATAACTTTTTCATAAGGAGACGACTTTCAGCTTATAAACTGTAAAAAAGTCAAATCATATTATTTCTAGTCAATAAATTAAGATCGTGTTTACTTAAATATACACTTCAATTAAATGTCAAGGTAACATATATATAGCTCAAGAAGGAAAAGAAACATCTAAACTATGTTCAAGAAATTAAAATGAAAAACAGAGCACTTCAAATGCATAACAACGACAAACAAGCACCCTGTTCAGAATTATAACTTTTTCGCCAAATACATATCTAAATTATCATTTTTTTGCGAATATTATATTCTAACTAACTATGAATTGTTCTCTTTTCCCATTTGAACTATCACCAGTAACAAAACACACCTCAACTATGAATTATTATCATGTAAGTAGAAAAAGGAAACAAATTAGGGTAGAGAAAAAAACAATATTGAATTGTGATTTTGACCATTAAGTCGTAGAAAAAACCAATAGAACTGACCTGATATACGATCATAAACTTCAGCTCCAGTTTCACCACCAGGTACTCTATAATAAAACCTCCCATACGTTACTCGTTCCTTCTTAATCTTTCCTATACTTGCAGGGTCATGATAGTTTCCAAAATTCAAATCTCTCAGCCTAGGCTCTTCCTTCACACCCATCACTCTCCTCGTTGGGAACGATCCGCCGATCTCTCTCAACGTCTTTCTCGTTCGCTCTAAAGGCGAAACATAGAAGAAAACCTTCCAATTGTTATCATTTTCAGAAATCAGTTTCTTAATTCGGATTCCAGTTTGCTTGGCCTGCTCAATCCCTTTCTCCGTCAGTTCAAATTTGTGAGTTGGAGTTGTTCCGCGCACATTTCTGTCGGCGTTTCCTGAAGACTCGCCGTGACGGACCAGGATTATGCGTTTGGGCAAATGAGTGTTGGTTTGAATTTTGACGAGAGACATTTGAGCAGATAATAGGAACAAAAGGGTATTAAAGAGAAAGACCAGTAATGAACTTCTATTGATGTTTGTGTTATTTCGGTGATATATCATGCACGAAGTTCACATGGTTTATATACATGAAAAAAGGCCAAATAGTGAAAAAAATGATAACAAAATTGTCCCTAAAGTATGATGATTTGAACTGTTTTGGTCCCTAAAGTTTGCAAAGAGTTGGTATTACTTTTTGTCTGATTTGACGGAAACTATGAAAGCAATATTTTTTTTAGTGGGAATTGCGTTTGGAGTTACTATTTTTGTAAGTTTTGGTTTCTTTCTAGAATTTGGTGTATTGTTTTGTACAAATTTTATCTAGTGTAGTTTTTTATATTGAGATTTTTAGGATTTGATGAGACTTTCTTACTTTTATGACTAAAAAATACTTCGTATATCTCATCAAATTACTAAAGTTCGTTAAATATTTGACAAAATCAAAAGTATTAACATTTTAAGTACGTTAAATATTTGACGAAATCAAAAGTATTAACCTTTGATAAACTTAAAGAACCAAAACTATTAAAATTAAACTTTAGGGACTATTTTATACATATTCTCACATATATAAGACTATTTTTCATTTTCTCATATATAGATTTTTTTAATTTTTTTTTTTTGTATAGTTTGAAAATGAAGGTGATGCAACTTTGACTGAGCATCCGAGTCTTCGTAGACCTATAATATTCGCAAAGTTTATATTCAATGCACAGAATAAAAGATATGAATACAATTAAATAAATGACTTGTAATAGTCTTACGTATAGTAAGTCTTTTTATATCATAAATTTCAATTTGATAATAACTAACATATTATAAAATGTCGAGATCGTAAAATGAAAAGTAAGTAGTATAAGTTTTCCTCGCAAACAAGGCTTAAAAAATAGTTATCCATCTTGTTTAATTTGATGTGAAATGTTAAAAGAAGTTATTAAACTTGGATGTAAGTAAGTCATAGAAATTTTTATATCTATAATTCATTTAATTAATGATAAATTAAAAAAAATACTTAAAATATAAAAAGACGTCATTTTAATTGAAACAGTAAATCAGAAAAAATATCATATAAATTGAGAAAATATAATACTAAATATAATTTATATATGTCCAACAAAACAAAGTTTATATTGAATAATATACCTTACGAATATCCTTTAAAGAACTAGTAAAGTTTAATATGCTCTCTTAACGAATACAATAATAATGCCTAAATATTCTGATGAGAACAAAATATGTAACGTTCCAAGAACTTCCCCACATGTTCCTCTCTTTTTTTTTAACTCAGTGTTCGATAATTATTTTAGAGTCCAATTAATTTAAATTTATATTAGAAAATTCTACTAATTTAAAAATAAAACATTCTTTATCAAAAACAACTTTATACTAAAGACTCAAATTCAAAATCCCTTACGACTTACCACTGGACTGCACTATCGTAACCTCCCCACATGCTCATGTTGGCATCTTCTGTGTCATTATTTTTTTTTTTTTTTTTTTGTGGTAGACAAGTAGGAGACCTGTCGCAATATTAATTAATTTTACGTGTCCTGCATGGAGAATTATATTGTGGCCCTAAACATACGGCAAAGTTTCTTAATTGAAGTTACCTTAACTAATTAGATATTTTTCAAGTCATTTTCTTTAGAAGATGGAAAAAATTAATTACGATAATTAATTAACTCACAAGAGAATATCCTTCTGTTAATTTACCATAAATAATAAAGTACGTTTCCCTTATTAATTATACAACTACATTGCATGCGTGAAAAGTTTTCATTTATATTTTCATTAGGTAATTAATTATACATATGTTTACAGTTCCACATAAGCTTTTAGCAAATAAGTAATTACAATGAATTATTAAAAGACTTCCTTAATTAATGAAGTCAATTTACATTTTTTTGGTCCTTTTTTTTATTCGTATATGTCGTTTTTGTTGGCATATTGAAGGACTAGACTTGACTAGAGATTAATTAAAAGTTGAGTCAAGCTAAGAGTTATATGTCCCACGCGGCATTCTTTTAGCGTATGAGCTAAGTTCCAAGTTTGTGAAATTACATGAAAATCACCTACAAAGAATCTCATACTTAAAAAAGTTCGTTTGAAAACAACCATTCATTTGATATTTTTTATTCAACTCATATACAACCAGGGAAGTATATATGAAAATTATTAAACATTACGTGTTCATAAGAATTTTTCTAGTATTAAAATTAATTTAATAAATAAATGATTAACATATTATTTTTCATCCTTTCTTTATTACAAATTATAAATATAAAAATATTTTCGTTAGGAAAAGGATGAATGGTGTATATGGGATGGAGGGAAGTTAGAAGTTTTGTTTTTGAAAATTTATTTATAAAATGACTCTTCGACTAACTTAGTGGTTTGGGCTTGAGACTTTCATATTGGAGGTCTTAAGTTTGAAATCTCTTGCCACTGAAAGCAAGGGATTTGTTTTCTGGGTCGAGCTTGTCGCACCGGGTTTACCTAGTGCGAATTACCTCTCTTGTGTGGTATGCAAGCTATTACATAAGAGTAAAGGCTCGAAAAACTAAAATTGTTTATAATCTGAAGAAATAATAAGTTGAGGTTGATTACTAATGACTTTTGTTGATTTTGGCTCATAAGCATTTTGAATGTTTATAAGTCAGTTTAATCGACTTATAAGCTTTGAATCAATTCAATATCTTAAAATTTTAATTTAGATATTTAAAAATTATATGTAGCAATTTTTCATTCCATGTCAAAATAATGGTCATTGGTCAAAGTTTTCAGAATTAGACTCGAGAGAACTTGATAAGGTGAATTTCAACTTTGCAATTACCTTCCATTATACGTCAGTTAAAACAACGACCTCAGCAGTGAAAACTGGTCTAAAACTTGTAACTTGAACCTGTCAAAACTAAATCAATCTTCATCCTGTTTAAAAATCATAATTTTACCAGTCAAAAACTAAATTCATACTTCATCCTAGATATCAAATGATTGTTATACAATTGAAAGTTTCAAATTTACAAGAAATTGACACTGATAATGCCGCCGGGCCTAAAATTGTAACAGCAACTTGAAAAGAGCTTACAAACATTTCTATCAGTTAACCAAATGAACAGTACAACAGAATTGGAACGAATACACGTTAACAATGTCATGCTAAGGGGAGATACGAGTTGTTTGACTTCACATCTTCATCATTTGAATCCGCTAAATGGTCAAAGAAAGCATCAAGGTACCAAGGGCAATGATCATTCAAAGTACCCCTGTTAGCATTAGCTCGCCATTTTTGGTCAGCGATCATCTCAGGGGACATACCCCATTCTAGCATCTCTTCATCAGTATGATGGACTGCTAGGCTATATTCACCACCCGCCCCTAATTCCATAACTCGAAACTCACAATTCCCTAGATTGTTTAGGTACTCGAATTGTTCCACTGTCCACTTGAACCACTTCATTAGAAAAACTCGACTAGCTAGACCATGGGATACAATTACAAGATTCAACTCCTCATTAGGATTGTGATGGTGCCTGTTCATATCAACATCCCTCCATAGAGTTTCAAGGAAATCTGCATTACAAAATTTTACAAATGAAAATAAGTATCAAACTTCACTCTTCTGAATTGCAGCTTAATTCAAATGCATCCTCATTGATTCAATGCACTGAACAAACCAGTAACATTTTGCTCAAATAGCAAATTAAAGAAACCAACTACTACCATAACAGAAGGATTTTTGGTGGACACATGTAAAAGAAATCAGTCTTTATTATATCACTAGTGTGTATAAAATAATAAGTATTTGAATTATATCACTATCATCCATTTAAGTCAGCAACTTCATTCTGGTCTCAAAAAATTTGAATTAGTTTTAACCGACGATCTTATAATTTAGATTAAGGCTATAAACACACCAAACTTTAATTTTAAACTAGACATGGATCTTTGATAAGCAGAATTACGATCAGAAAACAAAATTCAAGTCCATCCTATGAGCTAGTAAAGCTTGGGGAACCTTTCCAACATTGAGTATTGAAGGAAAGAAGACACTTTTATCCTTTAAAAGGTGATATTATTAGTTCAAGTCATCCTTCAGAATTTCTCTCGTAAAAATATTAGTGATTGTTGCCATGAAGATATGAATTTCTTCGGCGGTGTTGAGTGTCATCAAGCATAAGATTGAATTTAATACTGCCTTGGAAAAGATGCTTACTACACTAGTAGATATAAAGCAGAATAAGGTTTGGTTCTTTCTGTATATTGGCTGGGATTCAATAGAAATCCTGTTCAAGGATTTATGGTCATTTGTGCCAACATCATTACAATCTATTCCACAGCAGGGAATATTCTCCTTAATTTGCTGAGACTTAACAGCAGATAGAGTTTCAATAGGCTGAAGACCACTGTTCTTAGCAAGTGCCATTAGGACAGAATCCAAAGCATCTGCAAATGCCCTGATTGCTTACTGTTCAACTCCTGGATGTTTATCAGCAGCCGCTTCAACAGCATTTGAGCAAGAAATCTCTGCTGAACCACCACCATACACAATTGAATTGTTGCGAATAAGATTTCTAGCAACACATAAAGCATCATGGATACTACGTTTTGTCTCCACTATCATCATCTTATTGCCACCACGGATAAATATAGTTACTGCTCTTGAATTTGCACAATGCTCAATGTAAATCATTCTATCCTTTGTTGTACCGAAAGCTTTCTCCCGAACAATACCAGCCTTGCCAAGTTTTTCAGATGTCAACTCTTGAAACCTTGGTACTATTCTCCCACCTGTGGCAATTGCTATCAGCTCCAATTCCACACCACCTACCCATCTAACAGCGGGCAAATTTCTATGCATTAATAAGTGATTAGCTTCATCATCAAAACCCCACTGGCAGATAACTAAGGTAGCACCAACATCCTTGCACTTCTGGACCATGTCATCAAAGTACTTCTGCTCCTGTAGGCGTAAAGTTTGAAACTTCTCCACAGTATCAATGTCAACCTTATGCTTAGTCTTTGGCTTAGGAGGCTCAAAAGGACATGTCAAAATTGCAATTTTCGCATCCTCAATTTGCTTTGGCATCTGTGGATGACTCATATCTTTGTCAACTATAATACCATAAATTAGCTCTGTGTCCTCTAACTTCCCACCAACTTTCCCTTCAACTTTGATCAAGTCCAGGTTTACATCCTTCCTCTCTAAATCAGCAACTGCTAAAACAGCTTTAACAGCAATTTCAGCCATGCTACGTTTGCATCATCTATTCACAATCTTAGATGACAAAGTAGTCATGCAAGTTTGAACCAAAGGCTCAATGTCATTCAGACCGAATTCAATCTTATGTGCTACACGCTCCAAATGCTCAACTGCAATCCTTGAAGCCATTTCATACCCTTCTGCAATCCAAATAGGATGAATACCACGTTCTAACAACTTCTCAGCTTGTTCTAGCAGTGCCCCAGCCATGACAACAACTCCAGTGGTTCCATCGCCAATTTCATAATCTTGACTTCGTGACAACTCAATCATCAACTTTCCAATCTGATTGTCAACATCCATCTGCTCCAAAATGGTGGCACCATCATTTGTGATGGTGACATCGCCGTCAGGGCTCTGAAGCATCTTATCCATGCCTTTAGGACTAAGTGAGGTACGTAAAATACGTGCAACAGCTTTTCTGGCAGAAATGTTGGCCTTCTGAGCATCGAGGCCTCTTAATCTAGTTTTTTGTTCTTGCTCCCTTAGTATTATAAACGGCCTTCCGAATTCATCGAAAGCTAACGCCATTGTTCCCGGTGACCTGCTTTCGATCAGATCGGGAAATAATAATCTCCGGCGACAGTGACAGAGAGAGTTGTTTTATGAATCTAGAACACTTTCAGAACCCTAGCATGCTTTCAACTTCTATTGATGTTTGTGTTATTTCGGTGATATATCATGCACGAAGTTCACATGGTTTATATACATGAAAAAAGGCCAAATAGTGAAAAAAATGATAAATAGTCCCTAAAGTATGATGATTTCAACTGTTTTGGTCCCTAAAGTTTGCAAAGAGTTGGTATTACTTTTTGTCTGATTTGACGGAAACTATGAAAGCAATATTTTTTTTAGTGGGAATTGCGTTTGGAGTTACTATTTTTGTAAGTTTTGGTTTCTTTCTAGAATTTGGTGTGTTGTTTTGTACAATTTTTATCTAGTGTAGTTTTTTATATTGCGATTTTTAGGATTTCATGAGACTTTCTTACTCTTATGATTAAAAAATACTTCGTATATCTCATCAAATTACTAAAGTTCGTTAAATATTTGACAAAATCAAAAGTATTAACATTTTAAGTACGTTAAATATTTGACGAAATCAAAAGTATTAACCTTTGATAAACTTAAAGAACCAAAACTATTAAAATTAAACTTTAGGGACTATTTTATACATATTCTCACATATATAAGACTATTTTTCATTTTCTCATATATAGATTTTTTTAATTTTTTTTTTTTGTATAGTTTGAAAATGAAGGTGATGCAACTTTGACTGAGCATCCGAGTCTTCGTAGACCTATAATATTCGCAGAGTTTATATTCAATGCACAGAATAAAAGATATGAATACAATTAAATAAATGACTTGTAATAGTCTTACGTATAGTAAGTCTTTTTATATCATAAATTTCAATTTGATAATAACTAACATATTATAAAATGTCGAGATCGTAAAATGAAAAGTAAGTAGTATAAGTTTTCCTCGCAAACAAGGCTTAAAAAATAGTTATCCATCTTGTTTAATTTGATGTGAAATGTTAAAAGAAGTTATTAAACTTGGATGTAAGTAAGTCATAGAAATTTTTATATCTATAATTCATTTAATTAATGATAAATTAAAAAAATACTTAAAATATAAAAAGACGTCATTTTAATTGAAACAATATATCAGAAAAAATATCATATAAATTGAGAAAATATCATACTAAATATAATTTATATATGTCCAACAAAACAAAGTTTATATTGAACAATATACCTTACGAATATCCTTTAAAGAACTAGTAAAGTCTAACATGCTCTCTTAACGAATACAATAATAATGCCTAAATATTCTGATGAGAACAAAATATGTAACGTTCCAAGAACTTCCCCACATGTTCCTCTCTTTTTCTTAACTCAGTGTTTGATAATTATTTTAGAGTCCAACTAATTTGAATTTATATTAGAAAATTTAACTAATTTAGAAATAAAACCTTCTTTATCAAAAACAATTTTATACTAAGACTCAAATTCAAAATCCCTTACGACGTACCACTGCACTGCACTATCGGAACCTCCTCACATGCTCATGTTGGCATCTTCTGTGTCATTATTTTTTTTAATTTTTTTTTTTGTGGTAGACAAGTAGGAGACCTGTCGCAATATTGATTAATTTTACGTTGTCCTGCATGGAGAATTATATTGTGGCCCTAAACATACGGCAAAGTTTCTTAATTGAAGTTACCTTAACTAATTAGATATTCAAGTTAATTACATCTTTTCAAGTCATTTTCTTTAGAAGATGGAAAAAATTAATTACGATAATTAATTAACTCATAAGAGAATATCCTTCTGTTAATTTACCATAAATAATAAAGTATGTTTCCCTTATTAATTATACAACTACATTGCATGCGTGAAAAGTTTTCATTTATATTTGCATTAGATAATTAATTATACATATGTTTACAGTTCCACATAAGCTTTTAGCAAATAAATAATTACAATGAATTATTAAAAGACTTCCTTAATTAATGAAGTCAATTTACATTTTTTTGTCCTTTTTTTTATTCGTATATGTCGTTTTTGTTGGCATATTGAAGGACTAGACTTGACTAGAGAGTAATTAAAAATTGAGTCAAGCTAAGAGTTATATGTCCCACGCGGCATTCTTTTAGCGTATGAGCTAAGTTCCAAATTTGTGAAATTACATGAAAATCACCTACAAAGAATCTGATACTTAAAAAAGTTCGTTTGAAAACAACCGTTCATTTGATATTTTTTATTCAACTCATATACAACCAGGGAAGTATATATGAAAATTATTAAACATTACGTGTTCATAAGAATTTTTCTAGTATTAAAATTAATTTAATAAATAAATGATTAACATATTATTTTTCATCCTTTCTTTATTACAAATTATAAATATAAAAATATTTTCGTTAGGAAAAGGATGAATGGTGTATATGGGATGGAGGGAAGTTAGAAGTTTTGTTTTTGAAAATTTATTTATAAAATGACTCTTCGAGTAACCTAGTGGTTTGGGCTTGAGACTTTCATATTGGAGGTCTCAAGTTTGAAATCTCTTGCCACTGAAAGCAAGGGATTTGTTTTCTGGGTCGAGCTTGTCGCACTGGGTTTACCTAGTGCGAATTACCTCTCTTGTGTGGTTTGCAAACTATTGCATAAGAGTGAAGGCTCGATAACTAAAAGTGCTTATAATCTGAAGAAATAATAAGTTGAGGTCGATTACTAATGACTTTTGTTGATTTTGGCTCATAAGCATTTTGAATGTTTATAAGTCAGTTTAATTGACTTATAAGCTTTGAATCAATTCAATACCTTAAAATTTTAATTTAGATATTAAAAAATTATATGTGGCAATTTTTCATTCCATGTCAAAATAATGGTCATTGGTCAAAGTTTTCAGAATTAGACTCGAGAGAACTTGATAAGGTGAATTTCAATGCAAAGTCCTTTCAACTCTGCATTACCTTCCATTATACGTCAGTTAAAACAACGACCTCAGCAGTGAAAACTGGTCTAAAACTTGTAACTTGACCCTGTCAAAACTAAATCAATCTTCATCCTGTTTAAAAATCATAATTTTACCAGTCAAAAACTAAATTCATACTTCATCCTTGATATCAAATGATTGTTATACAATTGAAAGTTTCAAATTTACAAGAAATTGACACTGATAATGCCTCCGGGCATAAAATTGTAACAACAACTTGAAAAGAGCTTACAAACATTTCTATCAGTTAACCAAATGAACAGTACAACAGAATTGGAACGAATACACATTATCAATGTCATGCTAAGGGGAGATACTAGTTGTTTGACTTCACATCTTCATCATCTTTGTCATTTGAATCCGCTAAATGGTCAAAGAAAGCATCAAGGTACCAAGGGCAATGATCATTCAAAGTACCCCTGTTAGCATTAGCTCGCCATTTTTGGTCAGCGATCATCTCAGGGGACATACCCCATTCTAGCATCTCTTCATCAGTATGATGGACTGCTAGGCTATATTCACCACCCGCCCCTAATTCCATAACTCGAAACTCACAATTCCCTAGATTGTTTAGGTACTCGAATTGTTCCACTGTCCACTTGAACCACTTCATTAGAAAAACTTGACTAGCTAGACCATGGGATACAATTACAAGATTCAACTCCTTATTAGGATTGTGATGGTGCCTGTTCATATCAACATCCCTCCATAGGGTTTCAAGGAAATCTGCATTACAAAATTTTACAAATGAAAATAAGTATCAAACTTCACTCTTCTGAATTGCAGCTTAATTCAAATGCATCCTCATTGATTCAACGCACTGAACAAACCAGTTACATTTTGCTCAAATAACAAATTAAAGAAACCAACTACTATCATAACAGAAGGATTTTTGGTGGACACATGTAAAAGAAATCAGTCTCTATTATATCACTAGTGTGTATAAATAATTATTTGAATCATATCACTATCATCCATTTAAGTCAGCAAATTCATTCTGGTCTCAAAAAATTGGAATTAGTTTTAACCGACGATCTTATAATTTAGACTAAGGCAATAAACACACCAAACTTTAATTTTAAACTAGACATGGATCTTTGATAAGCAGAATTACGATCAGAAAACAAAATTCAAGTCCATCCTATGAGCTAGTAAAGCTTGGGGAACCTTTCCAACATTGAGTATTGAAGGAAAGAAGACACTTCTTTTCCTTTAAAAGGTGGTATTATTAGTTCAAGTCATCCTTCAGAATTTCTCTCCCGTAAAAAATATTAGTGATTGTTGCAATGAAGATATGAATTTCTTCGGCGGTGTTGAGTGTCATCAAGCATAAGATTGAATTTAATACTGCCTTGGAAAAGATGCTTACTACACTAGCAGATATAAAGCAGAAAAAGGTTTGGTTCTTTCTGTATATTGGCTGGGATTCAATATAAATCCTGTTCCAAGGATTTATGGTCATTCAAAATTAAGATTTGTAGAGCAAACTGCTATGAGTTTCTTATCCCTTTCAAAAGAAAAAAAAATCAGACAAGCACGTTTAATTCAATCTTGATGTAAAATAGTACTATAACTTCCATTATGTCATCATGTTTTACCAACTTGCTTATGCTGAAAGCAGACTACTTGATTTTATTCTTATCGTAACTTGAAGTCTCAGACTGTTAGTTCTATCAATTACACTACATTCTTTTAAACGATAAACTCATATTATGGATACCATTATCTATTTAATTAACGATTATTTAAAGATTGCATCTTACTTTCAATTGGAATAACAATTGATGTCAATCAATAGAAAAAACTGAATAATTGAATGACAAGAGCAAAGTTGTGGCGAGACCCAAAGCTTCAATTATAATATTCAAAGGTGTGTGAGAACTGAGAATGTTCATTTTTTTGGAAATAACTCAAAAGAAAAGTGAATCATATAAATTTTCGAGGGAGTATTCAAAACTCACACAAAAACTGTCACGCCCCAAACTCAAGGGGCGCAACTGGCTCCTAATGCCAAAACTCAGGCCCGAGCTGACCCTGCTGAACTATTTGCTACTAGCATATGGCAGTCACACACAATCAATAAAATAAACAAGTATATCTCGGCTTAAAACTAAGCCCTCGGCCGACAAGGTCCCTGTCAACAGATCTATAAACGAAACAGCTACTCCCAAGAGTTCATATAAAGAAATAGCAAACTAGCACAGAAACCCTGATTGGGACGTCGAGGCCACCATGATTTCTATACCAAAACTGAAAGCATGTATATGTCAAGACAATACATCAAACAACTCACAAGCTTCAACAAACTAACAAACTAGGCCAGCATGGCCATAATGTAGCTACACACCCCACACACTAGTCTGCAAGCCTCTAGTTCATTGCTGGAAGTGGGAACGTGATGGATTAACATTTGAATTTGAATTTTTGAACGTGTGATTTTCAACTTCGCGTTGTATTTGTCATTTGTAGATAAAATAAGAAAGATGCAAAAATAGAAATACAAATATTAGCGTGATGTATATAATTAAAAAAAATGATATACTTAAGAAGTCAGCTTATTTTTGTAATGATTACTCCCTTCGTTTCAACTAATATGAATTGGTATGACTTGGTATGGAGCGAAAGAAAAAAAGATTTTTAAAAAAAATAAATCATATATATTTTGTGTAATTAAAAATTATTTTATTATGAATAAAATGAGTATTTTAAAGTTAAATTGTTACTAAATATAAAAAATATATTTCATTTTTTTGGAAATAACTCAAAAGAAAAGTGAATCATATAAATTTTCGAGGGAGTATTCAAAACTCACACAAAAACTGTCACGCCCCAAACTCAAGGGGCGCAACTGGCTCCTAATGCCAAAACTCAGGCCCGAGCTGACCCTGCTGAACTATTTGCTACTAGCATATGGCAGTCACACACAATCAATAAAATAAACAAGTATATCTCGGCTTAAAACTAAGCCCTCGGCCGACAAGGTCCCTGTCAACAGATCTATAAACGAAACAGCTACTCCCAAGAGTTCATATAAAGAAATAGCAAACTAGCACAGAAACCCTGATTGGGACGTCGAGGCCACCATGATTTCTATACCAAAACTGAAAGCATGTATATGTCAAGACAATACATCAAACAACTCACAAGCTTCAACAAACTAACAAACTAGGCCAGCATGGCCATAATGTAGCTACACACCCCACACACTAGTCTGCAAGCCTCTAGTTCATTGCTGGAAGTGGGAACGTGATGGATTAACATTTGAATTTGAATTTTTGAACGTGTGATTTTCAACTTCGCGTTGTATTTGTCATTTGTAGATAAAATAAGAAAGATGCAAAAATAGAAATACAAATATTAGCGTGATGTATATAATTAAAAAAAATGATATACTTAAGAAGTCAGCTTATTTTTGTAATGATTACTCCCTTCGTTTCAACTAATATGAATTGGTATGACTTGGTATGGAGCGAAAGAAAAAAAGATTTTTAAAAAAAATAAATCATATATATTTTGTGTAATTAAAAATTATTTTATTATGAATAAAATGAGTATTTTAAAGTTAAATTGTTACTAAATATAAAAAATATATTTCATTTTTTTGGAAATAACTCAAAAGAAAAGTGAATCATATAAATTTTCGAGGGAGTATTCAAAACTCACACAAAAACTGTCACGCCCCAAACTCAAGGGGCGCAACTGGCTCCTAATGCCAAAACTCAGGCCCGAGCTGACCCTGCTGAACTATTTGCTACTAGCATATGGCAGTCACACACAATCAATAAAATAAACAAGTATATCTCGGCTTAAAACTAAGCCCTCGGCCGACAAGGTCCCTGTCAACAGATCTATAAACGAAACAGCTACTCCCAAGAGTTCATATAAAGAAATAGCAAACTAGCACAGAAACCCTGATTGGGACGTCGAGGCCACCATGATTTCTATACCAAAACTGAAAGCATGTATATGTCAAGACAATACATCAAACAACTCACAAGCTTCAACAAACTAACAAACTAGGCCAGCATGGCCATAATGTAGCTACACACCCCACACACTAGTCTGCAAGCCTCTAGTTCATTGCTGGAAGTGGGAACGTGATGGATTAACATTTGAATTTGAATTTTTGAACGTGTGATTTTCAACTTCGCGTTGTATTTGTCATTTGTAGATAAAATAAGAAAGATGCAAAAATAGAAATACAAATATTAGCGTGATGTATATAATTAAAAAAAATGATATACTTAAGAAGTCAGCTTATTTTTGTAATGATTACTCCCTTCGTTTCAACTAATATGAATTGGTATGACTTGGTATGGAGCGAAAGAAAAAAAGATTTTTAAAAAAAATAAATCATATATATTTTGTGTAATTAAAAATTATTTTATTATGAATAGTAACCTGCAGCAATTCTAAGCAAATTCACTTAGTTCTTGAGGATTCTAGAAAGACCTAACTTAAGATTGACTGTATGAAATCCTCGCTATGTATATGGAAGTATAATAATACGAAGCATTTGATTTTTGTATATAGTCTTTAAATATACAAGACAGCTCACTCATTCCTGTTACTTCTGTCATGAATATTCTCTAGCCATACTCAATAAGAACATATCGACTTAGAAATGACCTTTTGGTTGATGCATGAAATTGGCTAAGCATTTCATTTGAACAAAAATAGAGCTAGGATGAATGGTTTTGTGTCTATTTCCAGTTCTTCCTCCTGTGGAAGAACCAAAAAGTTTTCAACTCACATGAATTCCTTCTAATATTTAGTTATAGTTCATTCTCCACCTTCTATAAGTGGTAAAAATAAGGTACTATTAATTGAGAATCCTGCCAGTTTATTCAATTGGTTAATACTTATTACAAAAATGGACCATAGTTCACCAATTTGGATGACAAGCAACCCCATGAAGGCTATACAAGTTTTCTTAATCAAATTGTTCATACATAGACCTTAAACAATATCACTTCTTACTAAAAGCAGAAACTCAACTTTAAATGAACTAAGTGTCTCAATATGTAAAAGGCATTACTTTTAGTCATTAGAATCAAATCAGCCAACATAAGTACACAACCTACACAATTTCAAAGGTAGATGAGCAAGATTTAGCATCCAAAGAGAGATAAACTGACCTATAGGCGAGAACATGGGATCCTCCTCACAATCACAGAAACATGGAGGACATGAAGACAAAGCCTTAGAGTGCCGCAATGTTGGTGTTGTCACCATGTAAATAACCAAAAACAAACCCACCAGAACCAAAACAAATCTCACAGTCCCACGACTAGAGGACCTATGGTCTGATGGATAAGCCATAAAAGTGCCCCTAAAACACACAACAAAAGTTCCAAAACCCAACTGTCAGTACACAAAACAAACAAGCAAGCAAACAACCCAAACCAGATTTCAATTTCAAAACAAAATCAAGAAAAAGACAACAAAACTACAAATCTGAAAATCCCATTTTTTCAAATTTTCACTGAAAACCACATATCAAACACCCACCCAATTTTTCAGATTTTCACTGAAACCCACATATCAAACACCCAAAAAAACACACATTTTCCATACCTGTGTCAAAAAGATCAAAACTTTCTAATAATCTGAAACTCAAACTCAATCATTTGAGCAAGTCTAAACAAAAACCCACTTCACAAAATGGGTCTATATCCTAATGCCTTGCAACCCACCAAACGAAAAGAATGTATAAGCAAGCACACAAATGATTGTAGTGAGTAGTATTCAAACTCTTTCTTGAAATCCAAAATACAGAGAGAGAGAAAAAAACACAAATAGTGATTAGCTTTAGTGGATTAGGAAAAGTAAAAGTAACTCAGATCCCAAAAAAGAGAGACGAAATATATGGAGTTGGTTAAACATAATGCAACATTTGTAGAAGAGAGAAAATAGAAGGAATTAGGTAGTGAAGAACAAGTCTCTGCTTTTTTAAAATAGCAAAGGTAGCGTTTGATCATCATTCAAACACTAACAATGGATGTGTTTTAGTGCTAATCACAATCCAAATTAAACTTTAATCAAAACCGGGAAAATAGAGTTATTCAGTAGACCAATCAATCTGGTCCACGTATGTCATTTAGTGTTCCTACGTGGTCCCCAAATTTGTAAGTAATTATTCACTTGTCCTGAAAAAAGTAATAAATGTCGTATCAATTTGTTTGTCCCTAAAATGGAAAGATGTATTTTTTTTTAAAAAAAAAGTGTAAGTAACAATTTTTGAAAAAACTACTTATTTATTACTACTACTTAAATCACTTACATTTTTTCCTAAAAACTTGACCAAATACCTAAATTTTCTAAAATAAACATTTTTAACTTCTTAAGAATTTGGCGAAACAGGCTATTAGCCTTGTTTAAATTTAAAAATAAATAAATTAATTAATAAAAGCCATTAAAGAAAAAAAAAATGAGTATAACTATAGTATCGCTACCTAGATTTTTTATTTTATTTTTGTTTCCCTCACGGGTCCCATTGGAGTCTGACTAAATTTGAATCGCGCAGTTTAAATAAGATTTTCTCCATATTCAGGGCTCGAACCCAAAACTTCTAAGGTATGTTTAATGGTGAAGCAGTTCACCACTGTACCACATCCATGGTTGGTAACTGCTAAAGTTTGTGATTTTTTAGGGAGAAAACACTACCTGGACTTGGTGAACTTGTAAGATTAGACATAAGACAGGTCGAGTTGCCTGCTTAATTTTAGGTAGCTGCCTAATGGACAACTATAGAGACAGTTACAGTACATGACTGGATTTTGTTTGAGTAAAAGGTTTATGTCTTTCTTGCACCAATGAATCTTCTGAGCCTACATACCAACAGGACAGACATAAACAGATTTGTAGAAGTGTACCGTTAAATTCATAATCTAGGGGTAAAATTATTCCTTTTCGCATAGTTCAGAGCATATTCGGCCCTCTTATCGCATGTTAAAAGTGTTGTTCCTAAAGGACTTGTCGAATTTTATGTTGAAGGGGTCCTTATCCCATGGGAATATATATATTGAGAGCCAGTACTGTGTGATTTGTTGAATGAGAATTCAGACAGGTAAAATGAAATAATACTGACATAAAGAAAGGGAAAAGGAATTGAAAAATATATAAATATTTTACTAATTCAAAGGACACCCACCATAAACTAAAAGTATAGAAAGCAAAAGGAAAAGAAACAAATAAAAAAGAGTAACAATCATGCCAAACTCTTTCAAATTCAAATCCACGCAAACAAATTTCATATTTTAAAAAGAAAGAAGAAGACAACAGAATTTGTCGACCTCATAATCCTAATTAGTAAAGCAAATGTGAAAAGTTGAAACCTACTCTCCGTCTCGTCCCAAAATAAGTATCATTTTAGCTTATTTCACGTTCATTATAACTATAAGTTACCTCTATTTATTAGGTGTTCCTTAAGAATGGAAAGTTATTAAGAAGATGTAGTTCTTTAAAATAAGAGAATATATAGTTAATAACAATCAAATTTAGCATACAGGTAAAGACTAAAACAGAGAGGGAGTTTAAGTTAATAACAATCCAATTACACCATAATTTTACTTAAAAGGGACGATTACTAGCTAGCTAGTACTTATAATTTAGATAATGTATTCTCATCATCTGAATCTTCTGCAAAACAATCCATGAAAGGATATGAATCACAAGTTCCCTGCCATTTAACTCCTGTAGGACCATAAGCTTTACATTTTTGATCCTCTATCATATCAGGAGATAGTCCCCATTCGCGAAGTTTTTTGTCATCATGATGAAATGCTAGGCTGTATTCCCCGCCTTGCCCTAATTGCAACACTTGAAATTCACCAGTTCTCATCCTATTGAGAACCTCAAATTGCTCAACCGTCCAGTCGAACCATTTCATGAGGAAGATCCGACTGGATAGTCCATGGGTAATGATGATGATGTTGGTTTCTTGACAAGGATCATGACAGACGAATTTCTTCATTTCTATGTCCCTCCTCAAGCATTCAATATAACCTACATATTGTTATAGTATGAGTTTATGCTATTACTATACTATTCGTCTTGAAAATATTTACACAATCATCTTATTATTTACGACTAAGGTAATTATTATAATCAAATCTCTACATAACAGATATTGATTGATAGTCTAAAAAAGAGTTCCCCGCCATGCCCTAATTGCAACACTTGAAATTCACCAGTTCTCATCCTATTGAGAACCTCAAATTGCTCAACCGTCCAGTCGAACCATTTCATGAGGAAGATCCGACTGGATAGTCCATGGGTAATGATGATGATGTTGGTTTCTTGACAAGGATCATGACAGACGAATTTCTTCATTTCTATGTCCCTCCTCAAGCATTCAATATAACCTACATATTGTTATAGTATGAGTTTATGTTATTACTATACTATTCGTCTTGAAAATATTTACACAATCATCTTATTATTTACGACTAAGGTAATTATTATAATCAAATCTCTACATAACATATATTGATTGGTAGTCTAGGAAAGAGTTTAGGTTATATCATCATCAGGACGAGGCTTACTTATAGACATCCTTTGAATGAGTGGAAGGGTTTCTTACACCATTGATGTTTGTAACTTAAACTCGATTAAATGTGTTGAATTATATTGATAGTACAAGAAATCTTAGTATATGTTCCTTTAAAGTCACCACCTAATTTACTTCCTTATTATTATTATTATAACTTTTTCATAAGGAGACGACTTTCAGCTTATAAACTGTAAAAAAGTCAAATCATATTATTTCTAGTCAATAAATTAAGTTCGTGTTTACTTAAATATATATACACTTCAATTAAATGTCAAGGTAACGCATATATAGCTCAAGAAGGAAAAGAAACATCTAAACTATGTTCAAGAAATTAAAATGAAAAACAGAGCACTTCAAATGCATAACAACGACAAACAAGCACCCTGTTCAGAATTATAACTTTTTCGCCAAATACATATCTAAATTATCATTTTTTTGCGAATATTATATTCTAACTAACTATGAATTGTTCTCTTTTCCCATTTGAACTATCACCAGTAACAAAACACACCTCAACTGTGAATTACTATGTAAGTAGAAAAAGGAAACAAATTAGGGTAGAGAAAAAAACAATATTGAATTGTGATTTTGACCATTAAGTCGTAGAAAAAACCAATAGAACTGACCTGATATACGATCATAAACTTCAGCTCCAGTTTCACCACCAGGTACTCTATAATAAAACCTCCCATACGTAAATCGTTCCTTCTGAATCTTTCCTATACTTGCAGGGTCATGATAGTTTCCAAAATTCAAATCTCTCAGCCTAGGCTCTTCCTTCACACCCATCACTCTCCTCGTTGGGAACGATCCGCCGATCTCTCTCAACGTCTTTCTCGTTCGCTCTAAAGGCGAAACATAGAAGAAAACCTTCCAATTGTTATCATTTTCAGAAATCAGTTTCTTAATTCGGATTCCAGTTTGCTTGGCCTGCTCAATCCCTTTCTCCGTCAGTTCAAATTTGTGAGTTGGAGTTGTTCCGCGCACATTTCTGTCGGCGTTTCCTGAAGACTCGCCGTGACGGACCAGGATTATGCGTTTGGGCAAATGAGTGTTGGTTTGAATTTTGACGAGAGACATTTGAGCAGATAGGTAGGTAGGTAGGTACAAAAGGGTATTTATTAAAGAGAAAGACCAGTAATCAACTTCTATTGATGTTTGTGTTATTTTGGTGATATATCATGCAGGAAGTTCTGGTTTTAATAGATGAAAAAAGGCCAAATAGTGAAAAAAATGATAACAAAATTGTCCCTAAAGTATGATGATTTGAACTGTTTTGGTCCCTAAAGTTTGCAAAGAGTTGGTATTACTTTTCGTCTGATTTAACGGAAAGCAATATTTTTTTTAGTGGAAATTGCATTTGGAGTTACTATTTTTGTAAGTTTTGGTTTCTTTCTAGAATTTGGTGTATTGTTTTGTACAAATTTTATCTAGTGTAGTTTTTTATATTGAGATTTTTAGGATTTGATGAGACTTTCTTACTTTTATGACTAAAAAATACTTCGTATATCTCATCAAATCAAATTACTAAAGTTCATTAAATATTTGACAAAATCAAAAGTATTAACATTTTAAGTACGTTAAATATTTGACGAAATCAAAAGTATTAACCTTTGATAAACTTAAAGAACCAAAACTAAACTTTAGGGACTATTTTATACATATTCTCATATATATAAAACTATTTTTCATTTTCTCATATATAGATTTTTTTATTTTTTTTTTGTAGTATGAAAATGAAGGTGATGCAACTTTGACTGAGCATCCGAGTCTTCGTAGACCTATAATATTCGCAGAGTCTATATTCAATGCACAGAATAAAAGATATGAATACAATTAAATAAATGACTTGTAATAGTCTTACGTATAGTAAGTTTTTTTAATCATAAATTTCAATTTGATAATAACTAACATATTATAAAATGTCGAGATCGTAAATGAAAAGTAAGTAGTATAAGTTTTCCTCGCAAACAAGGCTTAAAAAATAGTTATCCATCTTGTTTAATTTGATGTGAAATGTTTAAAAGAAGTTATTAAAACTTGGATGTAAGTAAGTCATAGGAATTTTTATATCTATAATTCATTTAATTAATGATAAATTAAAAAAACACTTTAAATATAAAAAGACGTCATTTTAATTGAAACAATAAATCAGAAAAAATATCATATAAATTGAAAAAATATAATACTAAATATAATTTATATATGTCCAACAAAACAAAGTTTATATTGAACAATATACCTTACGAATATCCTTTAAAGAACTAGTAAAGTTTAACATGTTCTCTTAACGAATACAACAATAATGTCTAAATATTCTGATGAGAACAAAATATGTAACGTTCCAAGAACTTCCCCACATGTTCCTCTCTTTTTCTTAACTAGTAAAGTTTAACATGCTCTCTTAACGAATACAATAATAATGCCTAAATATTCTGATGAGAACAAAATATGTAACGTTCCAATAACTTCCCCACATGTTCCTCTCTTTTTCTTAACTCAGTGTTCGATTATTATTTTAGAGTCCAACTAATTTGAATTTATATTAAAAAATTCTACTAATTTAAAAATAAAACTTTCTTTATCAAAAACAATTTTATACTATAGACTCAAATTCAAAATCCCTTACGACTTACCACTGCACTGCACTATCGTAACCTCCCCACATGCACTGCACTATCGTAACCTCCCCACATGCTCATGTTGGCATCTTTATTAAAAACAATCTATATATAATATAAAGCCAAATGTAAAAAAGGTGATGTGACACCTCTCTAAGGCCTCCATTGCTAATTATCATTTTTCTCATTTTTTTGACTTTTTTTTTCTCTATTTTATCTTATTTTTTATTAAAGAATTAATCATATTCTATTTAGTAATCATATTAATTTAGTGTCTATAAGTTATTACATTAATTGCTAATTATTATATATATTATATTGAAGAATGGAAAAAGGTCACTAACTGAAATCAATAAAGCCCAAAAAAACAACCTTTTTCCGTTATTAGCCCAACTAATCAATTAATAAAATCTTTTATTGCCCTTTTCTTATTCATCCTTTTTTTTTCTCCTCTCTACATTTTGTGCCTTTTTCATTATTTTCCTGCCTTAATATTTTGCAAAAATTAACTATAATTTTATTTATTTTGTTCACCATTTAACATCATTAATCACTTTTTTCTAATACCTTTCTCCATTCCTTCTTAAAGATATTACTAACTTACAATTAAGACATTAATATCAATATAAGTTACAATTTTATTGACTACTATATTACTCTTTTAATTTATATTATTCAATAAAGTTACAAATTTATTGATTACTATAAATACTAGAGCATATCATCTTCACCAACAGTAAGAATTTCTTCTTCTTCTTTCTTCATTTTATTTATACTAAAGTACATCACTTTGTTTACGGCTAATTTTATTATATGTATATTATTTGCCACTAACTTCTATTATTTACGGTGTAGAAGATAAGATGAGCATATGGCAATTTTGGGATTCCAAATTCAAATTCAATTTTGATAAGTACTATATATAATTTGTGTTACTCTTCTCATTTTAGTTTGTTTGATGTCTCTTATTTATAGTGTTCTTTCTTATTATTATTTTTTCATTTGTGTTGTTTTTCCCCCTCATTATTATTGATTTTACTACACTTATTATTCCATGCATATTTTTTGTGAATAAGTTTTATTGTTTATAATGGAAGATGCATATGATAATATTTAGGGATTTAAGTTTAAGTTTGAAGAATAAATCAGTAAAGGATCCCCTGGAAAGTAATAAGTTCAACGGGTAAGAGAATGTGTTTAACCGATTGAAAGCGTGATAAGCGTCACTAACGGTATAGCGAGTAGGGCGTTTAACTGTAACTCACCGGTAGGACAGATAACATTTGTGGTTTGAGTTCGCTTATAGAAGTGGAAATCCGACCTATATTTATTTCCAACTAAAGGTAAAGGCGCTTTTCGCTTCACCGGAATCCGACGTCAATTGGTTACCGGTTGGTAGTTCCTCATCGTGCATTGACTGACTCCTCATGGGGTTGAAAACAGCGCTCTGAAACCGGTGGGAAAGAAAAGCGCAATCCATTCCGGTGGGTAACAAACCTTAAGTGAGGTTTATTCGTCTCTAACTCCCAGTAATAGAATGGGAGACCTACACTTGACACTTGCTATCTTGCTTGATGACTTTCTTTCATATTGGTTTCAGGTTCATACTCTGCTCCCTAATCCGGAAAGATCGTAGGAGTACACATCGATAAGCTTAAGTAAGCCTTTTTGACTAATACACTTTGTTGATGCAACGAACTCTTTCTATTCCACGAGCAGAACACCAGAGATGCACAGCACGTGGGCCTTGTCTAACGAACGACGACTTTCGATTCTTAATCGACATAGGTTTCTCTTTTTGTGTAATTGAATTGGATGGGCTTGCAACCCTTAGGAATTACTAATTTGTCCATTAATCTTCAGTAGTATATTGGATGTTGGTTATGTTTACAAATTAAATATTAGAGGAAAGGATCATCTTCCTTGGTACTTCTACAAAGATTCTTTTATTTATTAATTAATTTTAATTTATTTTTATACTAATTTTTTTTTTAAAATTTCAGATAAATTGTTTTTAACCTTGAAGGCTTGAATCGTTTAGTTCGTAGACCTTCAAGATTTTTTTAATTGATTCAACATTGTATATGTTTTTTTTCCTTCACAAAAAATGAATTTAATTTTTGTGTTGTTATATTAAGTTGAGAATAATAAAATTAATTTGAGAATTCAAGAATTCCATATTTTTTGCTTATGTTTACCTTTTAGAATAATTTAGAAATATTAACTAACATATAACTAAAGTTAAAGGAATATTAATTTATACATTTAATACTTTGAGTTTAATTTATTTGAATAATTTATAGTATTTATGTAATTGAGGTTATGTATTTCTCAATCTATTCATTTTATATAAATAAAATATGTCGTATATTATAATTGTAGTAAAAATTAGTCAAGATAAAAAGTGATTTATAAATATTTTATAAGCTAAGATTAGTGAAAGGTGAAAAAAAAGGTTGATTCATTATTAAAGAGAAGAATAACAACTTTCATAAAATATTAAAAGGAAAAAAAATAAGTATGAAGAGACTATCATTTTTGTATGAAAGAGTAATTATTTAAAATTGTAATTGATCCTACTCAAATCTCAACAAATATTTTAGAACTATTTTTATTTGATGATCAAGGAGATAATATTGTTTAATGTTTTGAGCTTTCTAAATTTGATTTAATATTTGTATTTGCGAGAAAGATGCAAACAAAAAAAAATGTGTACAAACAATGAAAGATAGATTTGAAAAAAGTCATACGAAATTATAAAAGTAAGATCGATCACTAAAGTTTTCATCAAAAAAAAACTCTTGAGAAACAATAGAATATTTTTTTTTGATGTATTTTAATTTATTGACATGTGATCTTCATAATCTAAAATAAATAATAGATATAGAAAAGGAAAATGATCAATTATAATTATCAATATAATTCTACATCATAACAAATATAAAAAAAAGTTAACTAACAGAAAATTTTAATTTTTGAATTTTCCTTTAAAATTAGTTGAAGCAAAAAAATGAACTAACTTAACTATCTTAAAGGAAAAATACTGAAAATATTAAATAGGCAAAAATAAATAATTGAAAAGGGATGTGGAAAAATGTGGCACCGAAAATCATTTTGAAATGTAACTAAAAAAAGAGATAGAATTACATAAATACAATAAAATTATCCAAATGAAAAATAATAGGAACAAAAATACAAAAAAAAAAAAAGTAAAAGAGAGAAATTCCAAAATGTCAACTGTCAAGAATGAAACATATATAATCAATTAATTTGTTTCTTTTTCTTAATTAAGATCCTGAAATTGTGATTTGTTTAGAAAGGTTTAAATTGTCAGATTTGATTGCATCAATGTCTTACTACTCTTGTCACATTTATATCTATAGTAAAGTTAGATATAGATAAAGTGGTGTGGTCATTTTTTATGATCTAGAAAGTCATTTATTTATTTATTTTCATTAATTAACATAACCAATAATTTAAAGAATCTATTATATTTATTACATTCAATTATATATCTCATGAGTTATAAAAAAAAACCTTTATCGTTTTGTATTCTCTATTTATTAATATGTCTCATCAATTCTTTTTACGTAATTCTCAC